CCCCCCCCCCCCCAACGTCTTCTTCTTCACAGACCTTAAGAGACCCCTTCTTCTCCATAGAAACAACCCTAGGAGACCACCCTCTCTTCAACAGCTGACCATATACCCTAAGCACCAGCCGCAATACACAGAGGAGACCCCTCCCGGATTTGATCTTCTTCGAAACACCCCACAAAATCGAAAAGAACTAAGACCTAAAAGGGGATCAACAGCCGCAGAATCAGAAAACAACGACCCCCCCCCTCCCGATCGGTTTTCTTCTCAAAAATGAAGTAGTCATTTCCATGGTGGATCGAACTGATCTCGACCAGAAATAGAACTACCCACCATGAACCTTTATTCATTATAGCTCTGTTCCAAGTTTTGGTTGATTTTTTCTTCAGATCTGTCGTCGTCTGATGTTTTATACTTCAACACCACACAAGAGGGGGGGGGGGGGAGGGGTGATTTGTGTGGTACCCAATTTTTGCTTAACTTGATTATAGAAGGACCTAGTTCTTCTATGTGTTCCAACTACTACTGTTTGCGGAATAATAAGTAAAGAAAATAAAGAACACAAAGATTTTTACGTGAAAAACACCTGGCTCAAAAGGTGAAAAAAACCACGACCTACTGCTCAGTAGGATTTTTCCAAACTTCCACTAAAATCACTGAGCCAAAAACTGCATTTACAAAAACTCTTTTGTAAACCTAGGATTAACTCTAATCCTGGTGTGGCACACAGCCTCAACTGTTGCGACAACTTCAAGTTAACTCTAACTTGAAAACTCTAATTACCTAATACAATTGCTTCTATAAAAGCTGAAAGGTATAATGTAAAATCACCTACTACAATTGAACTAGAATAAAAGATAGACACTTGGAACTTGTTCTTCTATCTGGTTCAAGTAGCTTCAGGATTGCACGTTTGAATCACACATAAATTGCTTGCAAAATTGCCTTGCTATTTTGCTCTCAATTCACGTTTAACTTCTGCTTGTGTGCATTACCTGTAAAAAAGAACAACACTGATATTTAAGGAGTTAGTCATAAGAGATTGACTAGGATACAGATGCTACTCTTCCATCGTGAATGAGTTCTAGTTGATCTCATACTCTAACTCTTATCCTTTTCTTAAACCGTGTTCTCTTTGTGAAAGGAGTCTTTCACCTTATCCAATATGCAACTTTTTCGATCATGATCAGAAGATATCACTTCTGATAATTTAGGCTTATCTCCTTCACGTGCATCTCACATGTTTGGGTTGATCACTACTGTGCCTCACAAGATTGACCTGGTCCATGACTGAGTTCTTTTGTCAATCTTCAAAACTTCACTCTTACTTGGGCCAACAAATTCTCCCTTTTTGATGATGACAAACTCTATGCTTTTTACTCGCTTAGTCCCTGTAAGAACTCAGCTGATTCATCAATACAAAGTTTAGAAAAATTCACTTATCATGAAGGACCAGGTTAATTAGGTTATAAACATCACATATTCAGAATATGTAAAGCACAATATCTCTTCCCCTTTTGGCATCATCGAAAAGTTGCATAAACAAAGTGTGGTTCCCAGATTTTAATAAGTACTCATGGCCACCTGGGCAACTGCAAATTGCAATCATGGATCAATCATCAGTAATCAAGCAAACATATTTAAACTATCAAGGAAATATTAACAGTCAACAAGTGCAAAAACAGTAGATATCATTGATAGATGATATATTGCTACCACAATCCACAACTAGAAAACAAAAATATTCAAAACATGAGCAAAAAGAAAGAAAAATCCCTAATCTGGGTCACTGAAGGTACTAGACAGTTTTAGGAGACAAAGGCTAGATTTTCTAAGGCTTGGAGGAGCTAGAGGGTTGGTTTTGGGCTTGGAGAAGATTCAGCATATTGTGAAGAATCCCATCATTCTTCTCCTTTTCCTTGGTAAGCTCAGTTCTGAGAGCATCCCTCTCATATTCAACCCCTGCCACACGAGCCTTTAGCCTAGCTATCTCAGCATCCTTGGCCTCACTTTCCTGAACAAGAGCCCTGACTTTACTATTGATAGGTGTCTTCTTGGATGAACCAACTTCATTTGGAATGGCATTGACTATATAGTCACAAGCAAGCAGAGTATTAATGCCAAAATAATCCTTGCTTGTGGCCATTTCCCACTTCTTCAGAGGCACATTGCACCTATCCAGAACAGTAGTCAGAATAAACCCATAAGGGGTGGCATGAGCCTAGGAGCCATTGATGACCCTGTCCAGTAGCTTGATGATGAATGCAGGCCAGTTGATTTTCCTTCCACTTTCAAGGCACTCCATCAGAACTAAGTCCATATAGTTAGCAATATGCCTTCTCTCCTGCCTGGGCAGTAGGTACTTGTTGACAAACTCAAAAATGATTTTGTGCTGTGGCTTCATTTCACTTTTGTGCATAAACTTGGCCTCATTCACTTCTTTAACATCACAGAATCTCCTAGTGATTTCAAGGGCAGAAGGAAGGGAATCCATACTAGGCCATCTTTGCCTAGTATAGTCATCATATCCCTCAGCAATGATGTCAAGAATGTCTCCCAGCTTCTCTGCATCGAAGGTCACTTGGACTCCTTTGAATTTGCTTATAACTCTGCCATCTTTGACCTCAGCATTCACCATGAATTCAATGATTTCATTTCTTGCCAATCTCCCATCCATCTGAAGGACCATGTCTTTCCAGCCCTGAGCAGCAAGGGTGTCAACCAAACGAACCATTCCTGGTTCCACCAAATCTTTCAGCAATCTTCCCTTCAGAATTTTTCTTTTGCCAAACATGGCTAACTTGTCTTGTTCACCCTCAGACTCATTCTCTTCTTCTCCACTCTATTCCTCAACTTCAGAGATTGTAACTTGTTTGGTTTTCATTGTAGACCTTATCCTCTTGGCCAATGCAGGCTCAACAGTCTTAGACACGGATGAAGACTTCTTGGGTTTGGGGGTCTGAACCTCCACTGGTTTATCTTTCTCCTGATGGACCTGTTCCATCTCCTCAGCAACAACAGCTTCAGAGGACTCTGCAACCTTACCCTTTCCTTTGTCCATCCTCTTTCTCTTTCTTTTAGCCAAAGCTTTTCGAAAGTCACTCTCAACCTATTTCACTCTACTCCTTGTGGCTCTTCCGCTTGGCAAAGGAATTTCAATAGTTGTTGGGGAGGAGGCCTTTCGTTTCTTGGAAGGTTTAGCAGTGCAGGGGGCTTTTGGTGTTGGAGTTCTCCTCTTCTTTGGATAATAACTTGCTCCTACCTTTTTCAAAAGGTCTGCTAGGGTTTCTTCAATTGATGAACCAGGTTCATCTCCCTGTGAACTTAAATCAACTAACCCCTCAGCAGCCTCCCCTGAACCACTTCCCCCTGACTTCTTGCCACTTTTTTCCACAGTTTCCTGAGCAACCCCACAAATAGCTGGTACATGCAATTCAGAAGTGGGTGAGGAATCAGCCACTCCTTTCCCTTTTCCCCTTACACCACCACATCCACCCTCCCTCTCTTTTTCTTTTTTCAATTTTCTTTTTACCTCCACTCCTTCCTAACTTAGGTATTTCCACATCCCTGATAGGCCCGACCAAGACGAACCTATTTTCTAAATTTTCAGTCAAAGAAGAACTTACCTTAGAAGGGGATTTTTTAGCCTTCTCCGAGTCAAAAGACCCAGGTCCTTCTCCCTCACTAGTAGATATGTACGAATCAGAATCAGAGTTAGAATCTTGGTCCTGACTTGCCTTTAGTTTCTCGTTCAATTTCTTTGATAAAGCACCAAATGCCACCTTTTTGCGAGCAAGCATTTTTACTCGCCTTCTCCTAGGTTGAGGGGTAGTGCTAGGTGGAGGATGGGTGGATGAATCAGAGGGAGTAGGTTGTGGAGGAGTTCCAGGGTTATCTTGGGGGTTCGACATTACAACTTATTGCTTGAGAAAGTTTGAGAGTTGAACTTTGGTAGGACTCTGCTCATGATTTAAATATTTAATTTTCTAATTGTACAGAGCATAGAAAACAACCTTGTCATTCAAATGAACTAATACTGATGAACCAGTTTCTTCATTTAGAATTCTCTTGATCATGCCTCAATTTACCAAAATAGAGAAAATTCCGTTAGAGATTAGTGAGTCATATCAATACAAGTCACAAGAGTATACTATTTACAGTATGAGACTGAGTAAAAATTAATCAGGATATTTACACAAGTTCCAGATTTACTAGCCAATTTTTTTTTAAAAATTTTTCCAATTTTTTTTCATTGTGCATTCTGAATTGGTCCCATTAGGTTATCTTAATCATCCCTAATTCTAACATGTTCCTCTCAAAGCTTTCTCTACTCAGTGCTTTAGTAAAGATGTCAGCAATTTGTTTATCAGTAGCACAGAATTCTGTAGTAATCAATCCTTTCTCATAGTTGTCCCTTAAGAAATGATGTCTAACATCTATGTGATTAGTCCTCTTATGATGAACTGGGTTCTTTGTCATACTTATAGCACTAGTGTTATCACAGAAAATAGGGATGAAACAAATTTCAATGCCAAAATCCATTAGCTGCTGCTTGATCCACAGCAGTTGGGCACAACAAGAGGCAGCAACAACATACTCAGCCTCAGCAGTGGATAAGGGCACTGAATTCTACTTTTTAGTGGCCCATGATACTAGACATGAGCCAAGAAAATGAGCCATACCTGAGGTTCTTTTCCTATCCACAAGGAAACCTGCATAGTCAGCATCAGCATATCCTACTAGATTAAAGTTACTACCTTAAGGGTACCAAAGACAAAGATTAGTAGTGCCTTTCCAATATCTCAGTATCCTCTTGACAGCAGTCAAGTGGGATTCCTTAGGATTGGCCTGAAAGCGAGCACAAAGCCCTACACTGAAAACTATGGCAGGTCTGCTAGCCGTAAGATACAAAAGTGAGACAATCACACCCCTATACAACTTTTGATCAACAGATGAACCAGGTTCATCTATGTCTAATTTAGTGGCAGTTGCAATGGGTGTATCTATTTCTTTTGATTCGTCCATTTTAAACTTCTTAATCAACTCCTTTGCATATTTCTGCTTATGGATCATGGTTCCATTAGGGTTTTGTTTGATCTGTAAGCCTAAGAAAAAATTAAGCTCACCCATCATACTCATTTCAAATTCACTCCGCATAAATTTTGCAAAATCCTTACTCAGTTTTTCAATGGTTGCCCCAAAGATTATGTCATCAACATATATTTGTACTACTAGTAGATCCTTACCTTTTTCCCTCAAGAATAGAGTGCTGTCAATCTTACCTCTTTTGTATCCATGTTCAAGCAGGAATTTGGATAAACGTTCATACCAAGCTCTAGGAGCCTGCTTGAGTCCATATAGGGCCTTGTCCAATTTGTATACATGATCTGGATATTTCTTCCTTTCAAACCCTGGAGGTTGTTTGACAAAGACTTCTTCCTTAGGTAGCCATTGAGGAAGGCACTCTTCATATCCATTTGGTGAAGGGTAAATTCCATGTGTGCTGCAAAGGCTATGAGGAGTCTTATTGCCTCCAGACTTGCTACTGGAGCAAAGGTCTCATCATAATCTATGCCCTCTTCTTGGCTATAGCCTTGGACCACTAGCCTTGCCTTGTTCCTTGTAACTGTTCCATCTTAATCAAGTTTGTTTCTGAAGACCCATTTAGTGCTAATCACTGACCTGTCCTTAGGTCTTGTGACCAGATGCCACACTTGACTTCTTTTAAACTGATTGAGTTCATCTTGCATTGCATTCACTCAATCTACATCCTGCAAAGCAGCCTAATGGCTTCATCTTCATGTTCCATTCTCTCAGAAAGAATGTTAGTTTCATCTAAAACAACATGTACACTTTCTTCTACACACAAAGTTCTTTTGTTGTACCCTTTATAAGCTTTGCTATGTGAAGAATATCCCAAGAATACTCCCTCATCACTTCTGGGATCAAACTTACCTAGGGAGTCCTTTCCATTATTGTGCACAAAGCACTTGCATCCAAATGCCCTAAGATGGGATATATTTGGTTTTCTCCCTTTAAGTAACTCATAGGGAGTCTTCTCTACAAGGGGTCTGGTCATGCATCTATTTATGATGTAACATGCAGTATTTACAGCCTCTGCCCAGAAGCTATGAGGCAGTTTACTAGAAAGAAGCATAGTCCTAGCCATATCTTCAAGAGTCCTATTCTTTCTTTCAACTACTCCATTTTGTTAGGGAGTCCTATGTGCAGAGAAATTATGATCTATACCATGCTCATCACAAAATTCAGCAAACTTAGTATTTTCAAATTCAGTTCCATGATCACACCTAATTGATGCAAGTTGATTTCCTAGTTGTTTTTGAGTTTTTCTAACAAAGGCAGTGAACATGTCAAATGCTTCATCCTTAGATGTTAAGAACAATATCCAAGTAAACCTAGAGTAATCATCAACAATTACCATCACATATTTTTTACCACCTCTGCTCAATATTCTCATTGGACCACAAAGATCCATATGGACCAGTTCCATCGTCCTAGTCGTGCTTACCATCTTCTTGCTTTTAAAAGAGGATCTTACCTGCTTCCCCCTTGCACAAGCCTCACAAACTTTGTCTTCCTTGAACTTGATGTTAGGTAATCCTATCACCATGTCCTTGGAGACTAATTTGTTGAGTTGATTTAGACTTGCATGACCAAGTCTTTTGTGCCACAGGAGGGGATCATTGTCCAACACACTCAAGCAAGTGAGTTCATTTTTTTAAAGAGTGGACAAATCTACAACGTAAATATTGTTAACTCTTTTTCCCTACAAAACAATCTTGTCAGTGGTAAGATTAATCACAAAGCATTTTGTAGAGGTGAATGGTACCAAGTTACCTCTGTCACACAGTTGTGATACACTGATTAGGCTATATTTCAATCCATCTATCAAGTACACATTCTCAATGGAATGTGAGTCTGTCTTACCTACCTTTCCAACCCCAATAATCTCACCTTTCTTCCCATTTCCAAAGGAGACATTACCTCCTTTTAAGTCCTCAAGTAAAAGGAACTGGCTCTTGCTTCCAGTCATATATTTTGAGCAGCCACTATCCATGTACTATAATTGGCTACTTCCCTTCACTTGGACCTGCAAAATGAAATCAGGGGTTAGTCTTATGAACCCAAACTAGTTTGGGTCCCTTTCTATAGGCAAAAGGGTGAATTAGATTCCTTTTGGCCCATCCAGGCAGCCTATTTTTCTCTTGAACAAAGGTTTTGTTCTTTTGACTGGCCTTTTTCTTTGCATTACATTAACTTTTGTAATGACCAGTCTTTCCACAGGATAGTGCATCGGAAGACTAATTCCATTTGCAAGTTTTTTCAAGTTCATGCTTTACCTTCCCTAGGTCTTCTTTTAAGACTCTTATTTGTTCATCTTTCTTGTACAACTCATCCTTCATTTTTCCTAGATTTTCTTCTAAGGTGATATGTGTGTGATCAACTTTCTTCTTACCTGTTCCTAATTTCAGTTTTAAATTTTCAGATCTAAGTTCTAAGATACTAGTGTCAAGTTCAAGAACCCGGTTCTTCAACTCAGTATTTTTACTATCACTCTCACTAGCCCTAGATTCTAGATTCTTGCACTTGGCTTTTAAGATCACACACTCCCTAGACAGTTGTTCCTTCTTATTGTTTATTACCTCAGACTCATCAATGAAGTCTAGCAATAATTCAGATAACCTTTCTTTTGACAAAAATTTAATCTTGTCTTTGAGATGAATCACACTTACCTCTTGTTCATCATCTTATTCTCCAATGGCCATAAGTGCTTGTTCATCTCCAGCTTCATCTTCTGAATCCTCATCTGAGGTTTCTCCCCAAGCAGCAACCATTGCCTTTGTTGATCCTTTGTTCCTTTTGGGTTGAACCTGTTCTTCTTCCTGTTCCTTCGTTCAGCCCTTTCCTTCATCCATTCGATTTACCACTGAGGACAATTCTTGATCATGTGGTCAGTCTTGCCACATCTGTAACAGCCCTCGTTGGTCTGTTTCTCGGGAGCCCTTGGTTTGTTGAAGGTTGTACCTCTTGAAGAACCCTTTCCTCTCATCAGGTACTTCTTTAAATCCCTTGTGATCGATCATGGCCATTTCATCATCCTCTAGATCTGCACCTTTAGCTATTCTGAGAGCCAACCTCATTTCCTTCTTGGGTGCATCCATTTTCATGGTTTGCCTTCTCAGTTCATAGGCAGTGAGATTTCCAATCAGCTCGTCCAACTTGAAAGTAGCAATGTTCTTTGATTCCTAAATAGCAGTGATTTTGCTTTCCCAAGTTACTGGTAACACCCTTGTCAGGATTTTCTCAACCTTGTCTTTCTCAAGGATAATTCTTCCAAGAGACTTAAGTTCATTTGTTAGTGTAGTGAACCTTGTGTACATCTCCTAGATAGTTTCTCCTTCCTTCATGGTGAAATTCTCATATTGAGAATATAACAGTGTTCCTCTTGATCTCTTTACTTGAGGAGTTCCTTCATGTGCCACTTGTAGAGTGTCCCATATCTCCTTAGCAGTGGTATAGCTTTGAATCCTACTGTACTCGTCTGGACCTAGTCCACACACAAGCCATTTCTTGGCCTTGGCATTCTTTTTCCATTTCTTCAAATCTTCAGCAGTGCATTCAGCTCTTATCTTTGGCACGTCCACTCCCTCAGCATTCATCTTTGTAGTAGCCAGGGGACCATCAGTGACTATGTCCCAGAGTTCATAGTCTTCTCCTATGATGTGATCTCTCATCATGTTCTTCCACCAAGAATTGTACTGACCATTAAAGAGTGGGGGCCTAGCAATGGATTGCCCTTCCCAGTTTCCAGGTGGTGCACTCATCTTGATCTGTTCCTAAGGTGTTAACCTCTTCAAGGATAAGCTGCTCTAATACCAATTGATGTTTT